GTTATTTCATGCCTAGACAAACCTAGGTTAAAGCCATTTTCCTTAAAGGGAAATGAATCAAACAATTTTCTAGAACAAAAAACAGATCAAGTTCTAATGACTTTTCAGTGTGATCAAGGCCTTTGCTCTGGTCCATAAAATTCTCAAGCCTCACAAAATGACCAGGATAGTTGCTAACGTATTCATCTCCTCAGGAAACGTTTTGACATTGCCATATGTTCAAACTCAACTACAATTCAGAGAAAACACAACTAAAAGATGAGTTAAATACAGCCTACATTGAAGAAGAATTCTTTGGGAAACAAAAGAGTAGAATACAATGGCTGAGATCTGGAGACAGAAATACAAAGTATTTCCATGGAATCACTAAAGCTAAGCGACATCGAAATATCATAAATTCGATTCAAGATAAAGATGGTGTCGTACGTATAGGCACACTAAACATTGCTACTGTGGCGCAGGAATACTTTCAGGACCTCTTCACATCAGACACTAATACTAGCAGTCAGTTTACGGAAGTGTTTAGTAACTTCCAGAAAGGGTTACAGATGATATGAACATTGATCTGATTAAACCAGTCTCAGCCGAAGAGATTGAAACAGCTATCTTTGATATTGGACCACATCGTGCCCCAAGCCCTGATGGCTTTTGTGCAATTTTCTATCATCAATAATGGGATGAACTAAAACCGGAGATCATCAAAGAAATTACAAAATTCTTTGAGGAAGGTAAGTTGGATGATAATGTAAGACCCAAACCCGGCCATCCAGGCCGCGGTCGAAGCCTCACGTCGCTCGTTCCTCTTCCGGACCGAACCTCTAAACTTTTTGCCCTTTATTTATAATATCGCCCATAGGCGAGGGCCAAATTAGATCATAGCTTAAGACTATCTTATTATTTCCTAGCTTAGATCATTTCTATTCTACGCAGAGGATTATGCTATATTAACCATTGGTCTAAAACCAATCTAACACTTGTCCAATCTAATAATCGATGCCTTGGTCAGTTCACTGAACTACCTTCCAGCTTATAGATCGATCCTTACATGGTACAAGTCATACAATTCCAGGGTTCCATTCCCCTAAACCATTCTAGATAGATCTAAAAGAAAGTAGCTAGATCATACCTTTGCCACATCCACGAAGCTTGTTAGCTCATCGGTCCAGCTGACTTAGTTAGCTCATCCTCTAGCTGGCTTAGCTAGCTCATACTCTTAGCTGATTTAGCTAGCTCATCCAGCTCTTTGAGCTGACACTTCTAAACTAGCTGAATCTGAGCTAGGGCCAGCTGTCTCAGCTCGTTTAGCTAGCTCATCCAGCTAGCTAAACTGTACCACCTCACT